AAAATAAATGAAAATTTTATAATTATAAGATTTTAAATCTACATAAATTTATATTCACTGAAAACCAATTTTACTTAAATTTTCCTTTTCTTAAAAAGAAACAACAAAACTTTAAACTTTTGATTAGTCTAACAAACCTCAGTTCTTACATTTAAATGCTAATGACCATGATGTCAACACAGATCCTTCACAGATATTAATTTCAATTGTGAAATGTGATCTCTCCTTTTTGACACCTCGGCTCCTTCCTAACGTCTCTGCAAACCTCCTGCACTAACCAAAAACACCTGATTCACTTCTCCAAAAACTCAGTTACTTATTAATGACACAAAGACTTCCTTTTGTCAACTTGATGCCGTAAAACTACTTTCACATATCTTCACAAAATGCCCACGGTAGATACAAGGACCTCTTTTAATCTACTTGTTATCTCCTTCTGCAAAACTATTCAATTCTTTTCACAATGCCGGTATCCAACTCACGAACCACACCTTATCTTGAGACAAATGACTGTTTCCTTCGATGACCAAATTATAACTAACTTCTCCGATCCTCCTAATCGGCTCACAAATTCCCATTCAAAAACGACAGTCCAATCAAAAGCTCCAATTGTGTTTACCATGATTTTGGAAAAGTCTAGTTTCTGTTTCAGAGAAAAACTAAATAGCTTATTTTAAAGTTGGTTTTGTCAATATACAATTTATACATATTTCAAAAGATTAGAATATGGTCATTTAATACTCGATTATACAAACAATGAAACGATTAACTTCAGGTAAAATGTCTTTTAATTCTAAACAAAGGGGTTTTTGATAATTTTGTTGAAAACGGAAAAGGTCGTTTGCCAAACAAATTTCTATTATCTACACCAAATCTTATCTTAAATTACTATATACAATTTGTTTATACTGATATCTTAAAATTTTATTCCGATGGATCTTTTTATTTATTTTCTTTGGTTGGGAAAGAAGTAGCATGACAATAAATATATGAGAATGAGAGAGAAATAACGAAAGTACAGTGGCAGAGAGAATGGGCGAATGATAGCGGAAAGGCAAGGTGGTAGGCAAAACATGGTAGTTTTGGCACCTTCACAAATAGAAGAGAATATCTATCAATCAAAAGACTGATATGTTTTTTGTACACACTTATGACAAGTCAAAAGAAAAGGCAAAAAAGTATTTTTGAAGTGTGTATATTTTTAATAATTCCTAGCTGAGCGCTTTCGGCTTTACAAAGCCATCATCAGAGCTATGGTCAATTTATAAATACCACTACAATGGAGAGATCTCATTTCCTTATATGTTGAAATATTCATTTTTTATTTAATTACTTAGTTGTTAAAATTCTTAAAACAACAGATAAAAAACCGACACTGGACTTCACAGACACATTAAAAAAATTATTTGTCATGGTACGGGTGTAAGAACCCGACAGACACAATAAAAAAAATTTTTAATGTGTCTGTGAAGTCCAGTGTCGGTTTTTTATATGTTTTTTTAAGAATTTTAACAACTAAGTAATTAAATAAAAAATCAATATTTCAACATATAAGGAAATGAGATCTCTCCATTGTAGTGGTATTTATAAATTGACCATAGCTCTGATGATGGCTTTGTAAAGCCGAAAGCGCTCAGCTAGGAATTATTAAAAATATACACACTTCAAAAATACTTTTTTGCCTTTTCTTTTGAATATCTATCAGTTACCGCTTGTTCTAGCTCTATATCACCTCTACCTTTAGCTCCACTCTCTCCATTAAGTAGCGAACTAAAGTATTCCTGCCACCTTTTCAGTATTTTAGCTCTCTCGTTCAACAAAATTCTTTTGAACTTCTCTTTTTGTATTAATTTGTTTATAAAGTTTTTTTTTTCTTATATAGACATAAATTTCGAAAAATTAAAAAATATCGATAACTGGTCTACGGACTAAATACTGGCCTATACCAATTATCTAGATGACCATTGCAAAGAGAGATATTTAACTTCTTGTGATGTTTCAACATATTTTATTTTACGAGTATTAAATTAACAAATCTAAAATTAACTAATTTTGAATTACAAGCCCGCTTTTTATAATTGACAGGCAACGTGGTTGCCACATGGCTGCATGCACTTAAGATTTAAATCATCGCAACGTTTCTTAGCACATAAGTACTTAATCCGCGTCTGAAGCTGTTATCAACACAGATATTTCTGTTTGAGTAACCCCATGCAATAAAACCGACTTTTTATGTTTTTTACAAATTTCTATTAAATTTAATTCTAACCGACTTTTTTTATTAAACTAAACTAGATTTGAGTAAATTCTAACATTTTTGTTGTTCTGTCTTTCCTCTAAGTTATACGTGATAAAACTTGTGATTATGGCCCATTTACATAGTGATATGACATTTCTTTCTTTTGTATTTTAGTTTTTAATTGCTTCGTGGTTTCGTTACGTAGGATCTTTATTACAAAGAAATTGTAGCTTGTAGTGTGTTTTCTAACGGCTCCATTTCGTTTTTTTGTTATCCCTAAATATAAATATCCTCATAGTCCAGGCTGTGAGGCCGCTCCCGTTGGGAAAATGTTTCTGATTCGGTTTCTTCGCGGATTCCGGTTCAAAAATGTCCCCTTTAAACAAATCTGAAGGGTGCCGGGCGAAATTTTTGGGCAGAAATTGTTTAAACAATTTTTTAAACAAAGTCCAAAAATAATTTTTTTTAACCTGGAAAACGTTTTTTTGGGTTTTTTTGGGGCATTTTAAATAAAAAAAGTCTCTTGTCATTTTTCTCTAAAGTTGATAGTTTTCGAGTTATAAGCGATTTAAAGTCTGAAAAACGCGAAAATACGCATTTTTGAGGCTTGAAAACACATATGTAAATTATTATTTTTGAGGTTACCAAGTATCTAAATTAAAGTTTAAACATTCAACTTCAAGATTGTGAAGAGTAATCAGGGCTTATTTTAATTTAGACCGTTGTTTTTTAATTGTTAAGTATGCGCGTACACTCGATTTTTGAGCCGCCGCGGCGCCGCGCGGTACTGTGCGCCTCTATCGTACTTATGCATAGTTTACATATACTTACAAATAATTATTATTTATTGAGTATATATTCATTTATATCAATTGAGTTATAATATAAATTTCGTCTTAAGTCTGATAATAGTTACATAAAATAATTGTACAAAAGATTGTTAAATAACACACTAATATCACTCAGTAAAAGTATCATAATGGTACACAGTTGACATGATTTTTCTTGCAGTTGTAAGCATTAGTTTTGCAAGTCTTTTTGCATTTGCACGGTTTCCCATCCCAGCACTATCAGACATATAATATCCATATTGTGTAAAATCGAGAGTTTGATAGCGGGAATATATGGCATTTCGCCAAATATATGTTTTAGCGAAAGCTCTTAACAAGTGTTGGTAAAATGCGTCAGAGGTTTATTTATTTTATTTGTACAGATTTATGTGTACAGAGGTACAAGGTATATTGGCTAGATTAAATTAAATTTTTCAGTCACACTGTCTTTTCGTCGAAGAGCAGCATTTTGTATTGTTATGTAAAAATCTACTTTAGGTTTTGTTAATATTGTTGATGTTATTACAAAAAATACAAACTAACTTTTCTTCGGTAAGTTTTCATTTAAGAAGAGGTACGAAAAAAGACATTTTAAATCCATTGCGCGATTGTTAAACAGGCAAAAACTTGCATTTTTGTGATAGTATATTGTTTTTAAACACCGCGCAATTTAAAATTTGGTTTACTAATATTAATATTTACTGCATTGTATTATTTAAATAATAATTTAAAAATATTATTTACAATTGATATAAATAAATATATACTCAATAAATAATAATTATATTGTACAAATTTGGAAGAAAAAAAAACTATATACGGTTATTACATTGCGATGATTGATTTATTTAATTAGCCCAATGACAATAATTAATACCTACATAAATAAATTATGGAAAAAACTATGTTAATAAACTTCAAGGATTTGTTCAGGTTTTTTTGCGTAAGTGTATATGTAAACTATGCATAAGTACGATAGAAGCGCACTCTAGCGCGCAGCGCCGCGGCGGCTGAAAAATCGAGTGTACGCGCATATTTAACAATTAAAAAACAACGGTCTAAATTAAAATAAGCCCTGATTACTCTTCACAATCTTGAAGTTGAATGTTTAAACTTCAATTTACGTACTTGGTAACCTCAAAAATAATAATTTACATATGTGTTTTCAAGCCTCAAAAATGCGTATTTTCGCGTTTTTCAGACTTTAAATCGCTTATAACTCGAAAACTATCAACATTAGAGAAAAATGACAAGAGACCTTTTTTGTTTATATTGACCCAAAAAACATAAAAAAACGTTTTCCAAATTAAAAAAAAATATTTTTGGAATTTGTTTAAAAAAAATTGTTTAAACAATTTCTGCCCAAAAATTTCGCCCGGCACCCTTCAGATTTGTTTAAGGGGGACATTTTTGAACCGGAATCCGCGAAGAAACCGAATCAGAAACATTTTGCCAACGGGAGCGGCCTCACAGCCTGGACTATCAGTATTTTTCAGATTTATCTCTACTCTTCATTGTCATATTGATCCCAACTGTGCCTCGTAATCTTGCGATGTTGAATTTGAGTTGCAATCCTATTATTCTACATTGTTGATTTTATTTATTTAGTGCTAGTTGTTGTATGATATAGCTTAGATTATTTGGCAGCACTAGGTGTGAAGGCAGGGAGGTTAGACATCAGCTGTCAACAGGTTGACTAGGTTAGAATATAGAATATAGGTTATAAGATGAACACGTTGTGAATAGAGATAATAAAATATAAAAGTTAATGTGTGTGTCATTACATGATCATAATAAACCTAATACATGGTTTCAGGTCTAAAGGAACCCTAAATTAGAATTCAGTTGTAAGGAACCTATAAAATGGAGTCTGCCAAGGCACCAAAAACATTGTGTTCGATCGACACATAAGTCAAAATTATGGGAAGTTCATGAATAGTTTCTCTATTTATCTAACGGCAACGCTCCTGTGTAATAAAGATTACGAAACTAAAAATGCAATTTTCTTAAATTCAGCTGGCGAAGATGCTCAAAACATTTTTAGAACGTCTAAATTTGTTGGTGACGAGGGAAAAATCTACGATAAAGCAATACAGGCGTTTGAGGAGTATTGCAAGCCACTTTGGAACGAAACATATGATAGATATAAGTTCTTCAACAGAAGTCAAGGTGAAGATGAAGTATTTGATAGGTTCCTGACAGACATTAAAATTTTAGCATGTAATTTTGGAGTACTAGAAGATTCACTAGTCCGTGATAAAATAGTGAGTGGCATTCGAGACCAGACAATGCAAGAGAGACTATTAAGAGTTCCAAATGAGACTCATTGTAGAACATCAGAAGCAAGCAAGTTTCAATTGAAAGATCTTAGAAGAGAAATGAAAGTTAACAGCTTAAGATACAGAGGAAATAATAGTTTTAAAAATGGTGCTATAAGGAACATAAGCTTATGGTAAAATATACAAAAGATGTAATGAACCCAATCATTTTCAGGTAGGATGCAAGTTTTCTAATTTAACTAATGTAGGAGTAGCCTCTAGGTCTGCTAGTACTAATCAAAAAGTCTATGAGATTACACATGATAGGTATGACACACCTGATGTCCGACCTCGCTGCCTTCACACCTATTGCTGCCAACCAACCTAAGGTATATCATAGAGTTGTAAGAATATTCTGAATGGTTTTGGCGATAAACGATATATAAATGCTGCCTGCTCTATCACTTTTGAGCGTTCTAACATGTTCTAACATGGATAAACAGACTAATTTTCGTGTACAGAAGTGTGTTGCAGCAGCTCAAGCTTGTTTATATGAACCATAGCTTGTGTGGATCATAATATTTTTAAAACTTATACTCAGCTGCACGAATAAAGCTGGAAGAGCACCAAGAAGAAAAATTACACTGTTGACTCAAAACCATACGAAATCAAACTGCTGCGAAGCTGACTATATCTTACACTTAGTTAAAAAGGAAAACCTTGAAATAATTTATTAAGTTCGCAACTGAGAAGCTTGCATATATATATATATATATATATATATATATATATATATATATATATATATATATATATATATATAAGGTTCTTGAACTCCTAAGTGGAGCATAGAGCTTCAGTGAAAACGCGCCATCGGGTTCTATTTTGCGCTAAGGCCTTCACCTCATTCCAAGAGAAGCTTGCATAATGGCACATAAAAAATCGTTATTTCTAGGGTCTTTCACAGCTTATTTAGAGAAAGCATATGACAGAGTTCCACGAGAGGCTCTGTTCGGGCGCTCAATAAGAAATGAGGATCCAATGAGTATATGAAGTTTAAAGGAGACAGATAAATGTCATGTGAAAATAACTACTTATCCTGATATTTTCTAATATTCTCCATGGTTCGGTATTTCGTTTGTTTCCTAGGTATCTGTCAATGGCTTTAAATTCTTTTTCCGATAATTTGTTTTTCTTTTCTACAATTTGTTTCCGAACTCTTGTTTATGCTTCTCTATATTGTAGTTTATGTTTTGTAGCTCCTGAAGTTTATTGCTACAGACGTTATTTTCTTTATTTCCTGTCAAACTTTCACAGGATTTTTTATTCTTTTTATTGAGTTATGCGTCGACAACTAATGGTCATTGGCATGGTACAGTGAATTTTTACAGTCAGGTACCTAGTGTAGAGTGTAGTGTCTGTGTAGAGTAATTGTCTTGATACTTAGCAAAGTCGACGTCATTGTTTTTGCTAAGAGACGCTAATTGTATCCGAACGTCTGCGGTCCCTCTGGTGAGTACCGATCGCACAAGGATAGAAATTATTTTCATTTATTAATTTTTAATAAACGAAAATTTTTCCACCCAGGTGAGATTCGAACTCACGACCTTTAGGTTCAAAGGTAGGCGTTCTTACCGCTGAGCCTCAGAGGGGGTTTTGAGTTTTTTATAACATTTGTTACTATCACAAAATATGACATTTAGAATTCCTAATTTAAGACAAAACTTACATTCTGGTTATTATTAATACTCTTATTTATAGTCTAGATCGTCTAAATAAAAACCTTTGTAAAAACTATGTAGTGTTTACAGCTTGGTTATTAAAGTCAATGACTTCCATTACGTCTGGTAATGAATGAACTGGTAATACAGCGTGACGATAATTGATGCAATATAAAAAGGATATCTAGTTAATTGTATCTTTTAAAATAATACCGACGCATGCAAACTTTAATTCACTACGCTTTGACGAGATGATCTTATCAAAACAGCGCATTTACGTTAAGTATGGTTTATTCGATATTATATTGGAAATTTCTAATAGAAATAATGCAGATTTTACTACTGTTTTTGCTACTTTTCCGATTACTATTGTTGAAAAACACTGCAAAAGTGTACAGAATTGAAGTGCAACAGTATTGCAAGCCACTTCGGAACGAAACATATGATAGATATAAGTTCTTCAAGTGTCTACAATAAAATTCTAAACTACAATACTACAATAAAATTCTGTGTAATATGATCATCTGTATCTGTATCTGTAGAGTAGGAAGGGCGAGCTAAGTTTCACAGCACTTGGGCCACAATTGACTCATTGTGCATCCTCCCAGGGAGCTGTCACCCTTAGCTCATTGTCCATCCTGCCATTTCTAGGAAGGTGGACAAGTCACCAGGAGACATCCTGATCCTCCTTTCATTTTGGAGCCATCGGTGTATATGCAATAGGCATTTGCCACGTTGGTCTCCATGCACTGTCTTGTTTCAATTTTGTAGGGTTTGTTAAAGACGAACTTTGGTTCAATTGAGTCGCAGCCTGCCTGTAGTACTGGTAATGTATCCAACTCTCCCCGCCAGAAACGAGTTCTTAATTGTCCCATTCCTACATCAAGGTTTGCACCAGCTGAGCGCAGTCGCATCATTGTCATTGTCATTGTGATCAATTAATATGATAATTTATTTTGTCTCTAATCTACAGCAATTTGAGTCGTAAGGACATAGCAAAGTTTAATAACTGTTGCAGTAACGTGTTTAGATTAGATTCGGTTAAGAGGTGGCCTTTCGGCCTATTCCACTGCGAACTTTTTATGTCTATTGTGGTCCTCTAGTCCTAGATAACATTCTCTGACCTGACCCTTTTTATAAAGTTAAAAATCTTTAGGGGCGTGACACCTTATGTTATATTGCTATGAATGAGGATATGATATATGCTTACAAACATTTTACTGCATGTATTTTCTCCCCTACGTCATAATGTAGAGTTGTTCAAAAGGTTTTTAAAAACATTCTGTGTCTTATCCAGATAAAGTTTGTTTGCAATTAACCATGTCTTAGCTTTATTCAAACATTCTTCTCATTCATTCAACTGAGTAGATCATAGAGTAGATCATTTAAATATAGTACAAATAAAATAAATAACATCTTTACCTAGATATTTTTAGAATGTGGGAGTTTTAAAAACAAAGTTTTTCGTGTTTTATTGTTAAATATATTTTTTATTTCTCCCATCTCTGATTGGTACATTAACGTATCTTCCGGTCAGGATATTTATCTTTCTGTAATTTCATTTTCCTTGAATGTTTTAATTAAAAAAACTAGAGCGTTGTGTTCTATTTCAAACAGACCGTGCTCTATATTTAATCCCGTTGGGAAAATAAATACCTACATAGTCAGTTCACTTAAATATTTAGTTTAAGTGCATCCATCTGTAGTGTAATTAAAGTTCAATATCATTTGTTGAGCTAATTTAACGCAGGTCGTTACACGCCTGCTTCTTTTATTCGTTTATTGTTTCTGGTTAAAAATAGAAACTATGGTGGAGAGATTTGTGTAAAACAGTACTCACAAGGTTTGTAATTACGTTTTAGGGATACTAAATGTTCAAGCAATTATTGTTTTGTATACTAGACACTATTGTATAAAGAACGAAGGCTTAATTTTTTGTGTTCAGGTGCAATTTAATCTGAATGCAACAGATCAAAAGTTAGATAACAAAAACAGTAAACAACAGATTGAAAGAAGATGTGATACCTACATAAGTATAGTATTTATAAAGTCAGTTGAAACACCCAAAAACCTACTTACCGACAAACAATAAAAGAATAATATCATATTACCAGACATGGGCGCATCATTTATTTTTATAATCAAATATATATTAATGTAGAACAGAAAAAGGACAATTTTAATTTACTTAAAGCTGTCGTAAAGTACATAAGTGTATAAAAAATTTTTAACATATAATATTAAGCAACAAAAATAATTTATAATTAAATGGCAATAGGCTATATTGACAGTATAATGATTTAATTATACTTCGTAAAATAATAAACATTTTTGCTGTACAGCACTGGCATGCATCGGCAGCGTTTCTTATCTGTACCCTTCGCCACCGGCTAGAAGGGGACCTCCAAGTAGCATGTTAAATATTGGTGATTTTGAATAACATATCAATGTCCAATATTTATTTGATGGGATGTATCTTTCATTACCTTTTTCTTCCACCTATTTCCTACAAAGTACGGGGATTGTTCAAATACGTTTGAAAGATTGACGCGTGTTATTTATACTTTAACTTGATTACCGGTAAATGTAATATTGAACTGCCCTTATAAATCGAGTCGGAGAGAAATGTTTCAACTGACTTTATAAATACTATACCATCTTCTTTTTCATTCTAGTGTTGTTCCTTATTTTTTAAAGCGACATCCCACGCTTCCTTCTTCTTCTGGACATATGTTTCAATAGTCTGTTATCAAGATATGCTAGTGTTTATTTGTTTGCTAGCCTATTGTCGAAATAAAAAGTTGATTTTTCAGTTTTTTTAGTACATACGTAGTTGTAATCTAAACTTTATAAACTATTCACTAAGAATGTATAGATCATTCATGAGAATGTTTTCGGTACTTTCTCCCAGGATTTGTGGCTTATTGCAAGGGTCCAATCGTCAGCATATCAAAACTTGCGAGATTTGCAAGGCATATCAGCAAAATAGAGACTAACAAGTAAAGGGGAAACCACAGGATTCAGTGAAAGATCAATATTAAGTTTCTTCTAATTGCTCTTATTCTTTTTCATTATTACCTGGAAGGTTCTTACTTTACTTTACTTCAAGGGTACATCAATGAGGACAGTTTCTGCATCTAAGTAGATGTACCATATTCTGCGTTTCTCCACAGTCACAGTTCACATCACCTTGGTCTATTTTTCCCCATTTTGCCATGTTTGATTTTACTGTAGCCACTCCCGTTCTTATCCTGTTCATAGTTCTCCACGTTTTAAAGTCTAGGGACTGGCCGGTCCATTGAACCTGGGAACAGGAAAATACTCAGGCGGTTCATCCTGCACTGTTCCAAGGAAGCTTTTTCTAGATTTTAATCGCTTTCGTGGTGTTAGAGCTTTGTATAGGGCATGCCGCTCGTCCACGATCTGTTTAATTTTCTCTATAACTAACTCCTCAGCGTGTTGAGGGATCTGCAAAACCCGCTGTTCTATATAGATTTGAAAGTGGCGTTGGTTTCATGCACCCCGTTACTATCCTGCATGTCTCATTTAGCGCAGTATCAACTTGTTTGGTGTGGACAGATCTGCTCCAAACGGGGCATGCATATTCAGCAGTTGAGAAACACAGTGCCTGTGCCGTTGTTTTTAAAACGCCAGGACGTGCGCCCCA